AGGATTTGTCAATCTAGCTTGCCTAGTCTTAGAGCCACCAAACCTTGCTCTTACATGCAGTAAAATACATATAATAACATGTACAACACCCATTAAATAGGGGTATAAATATAATTCGACATATCATACCCCCTTTAAAGACAGAGTTATGATATGCACCAAAAGTTTTTTAGCACAATTTTTTTTTTTCATAATTAGCAAAGCACTACAAGCAAATCCTTTAATTTCATAAGGAAAAAAATTAAATAGACTTCATGCATTCTTAACGTTAAAGTCATCCTATTTATTTATTTACTTCCCTTTATCAATCACAAATAAAGTCACATCAAATCATGTAGGCCTATAAATAGTGACTTATTGACTAAGAAGTCTTGTAAAGCTCTACGCATGTCCCTAAAAACTTTCAGGATGCAAATAAGTTTTTTTCATAATTACCCATGCCCGTAAATTTAATAAATTATTTTATAACCAATCTCGCCATATAAATTTCATTGATCCCATTAGCTTTGTATTAAATTAAATTAAACTTGTATATTCAAATATAGCCATACACTTAAATAATTAGGGGCACAACACAACTAAGCATCAATAGCCCTTATGAGCGTTGAAAGCCCATGTCTGGGTATCAAGCCGTTCTCGAGCTAATCTCACATATTGAAGTGATCGAACTAAACTCACTTGTTGAAGTGGTCGAGCTAAGCCTACTTGTGAAAGTGTTCGATTAAGTCTGAGACGAATTAACGACCATATAAGATCACCATTACACATTGTTGAATTCAAATTTATCATTTGAATAACACCCAAGAAAAAAAAGTGTTGGACGGGATAGAGAAACCGTGCACACAATGGTTTAGAGGTGACCAATCGTCAGTCTTTCAGTGTAGAAATGTCCCACAATGTATAGATTGTGGTGATTTTTGTTGTACACTTACATGCTTATCCCTACTTTATTAGGAGCATTGAAGATAATATTATGTATTTTTTATAGTTACAATCTTATAGCTAGATGACTTTTTCACTATGATGGACGAGGTCTTCGGTTCGAAGTAAGACGTTTATTCAGCCTAAACGGTCGGCTGATCATTGTCAGCTGGATC